TTATCAACACATCTGGAGGTTGAAGGGAATGATTATTTGAATTTCCAAGTATGTTACCCTTCAGCAGCTCTACCACAACAAACATAACCACTAATCCCAAACTGGCAAAGAGTGAACAGATATTTTAAAAAGTTAATTTGTCACATGCTGTTCCTGTGCTGCTTTGACTTACCCTCGGGGATGTTTGTCAAGCTCATTTAGGACTGTCTGTTCACAGAACTCAAACACCAAGTGGAGCCGCCTTTTCCTCCTGAACACCTCGAGCAGGTTGACCAAATTCACGTGTTTGAGTTGCTAAAAGATGAGCACACATCACAGACACTTCAGTGTCAGTGCTTCACAGCCTGACAAGTTTCTTTCATCAATTCATGTAGCATGCACATGTGTGTGTGTGCAAGTGTACACGTGTGGTGTGACATGTGGAAAACTTGATACCAGAACTAATGTCTTCTCACCTTCAGCATACGTATTTCTCGCAATGCAATCTTCTTAATAACTGGATCATCTTCAGACTCCACAAACTTCTTGATGGCGACTATTTGGCCAGTATCTCTGTGCCTGCATTTGAACACCACACCGTAGGAACCCTCACCAATTTTGGACAGCTTTTCGTATTTCTCCATTATGGCAGCTGAAAACTGTCACCTGTCAAAAAATAAATGTTCCCCATTTTATTTAAAATCGTTATCGGTGCCATACTTCATCAGTTTTCACTGCAATCTTTCATTACTGGGGATATTTTTTTAAAGGTGGGCCCAAATAAAAGTCACAGGGCAAGATATGTGTGTTTGAGGACAAAATTAACTCACGGAGACGTAACCGTTTTCAACGTCTGAGAGGCACACAGGTCCAGAATCTGTCTTTATGTCAGTAGTGAGTCCATCAAACGTCCGCAAAGCTACAAAGAATAGCCATCTCTGGTATTACCTGTCAGGCTCCTTGGTCTTGAATTTACTAATGTCACACTAAAGAGGACTCTCGCCTTCTCGCTTTCATTGCTATTTGCTGTTTCCTCTCCCGATGCGTCGTCACCACCTTGGTAACCCAACAGGTATTATTTCCAATCGGCACAGTCCACTAACTCAGTGCGAGTCATTTTTAACGCAGTGTCCCTTTAAAACGACGCCTCGGAAACGTGTCGACACAGAAATAATACTTCTATAAACTCACCTTTTACCTTACTTGTGGCAAAATGCACAAAAAGGGCAGAAATGCGTCCCAAACACAGAACATCAATTCACAAAGCCGCCTGCGTAAGACACGCACGTATACACTTTCGTTGTAACTATGGAGACAGGTGACACTAGCCTGAGAAGAAGCAAGTAGTAGCAAAAAGTTAATGAGTAGTTTAAATATGTATTATATGGCACATTTTTGATGCATATTGAAGATACAAAAAGGAACTTAACAACCCCCCCCCCCCCAAAAAAAACCCCCCAACCCTCGGCCACTTTATTAGGCACACTTGTTCAGGTGCTTGCTCAAGTTTTAATGTGATTAGCAGCAATCCATTGCATTTAGGCATGGAGACATAAGTAAAATCTCATATGTTGAAGTTCAAATTGAGGATCAGAATGGAGAAGAAACGTTATTTAAGTGCCTTTGAACATAGCATGGTTGCTGGTGGCAGATGGCCTGATTTCAAAAAGTATTTCAAAAAGTGATAATTTGCTGGGATATTCCTACAAAACCATCCCCTGAGTTTACAAAGACTGGTCCAAAAAAAAAAAAGAAGGTATCCAACATACTACAGTTCTCTGGGAAAGGCAACAGTAACTCAAATAACCACTTGTCACAACCAAGGTATGCATAAGAGCAAATCTGAATGCACAATGTCTTGAACCTTGAAGCAGATGGGCTGCAGAAGACTACACTTAGAGCTAGTCCTGTAGACTAAGAGCAGGAAAATGAGGGTACAATTTTCTGCAATTGGAAAGTTATAAAAACATTGCCTGTTCTCACCAGTCTTGATTTCTGCTGGAACATGCAGGTGGAAGGGTCAGAATTCTGCTTATATAACATGAAAGCATGGTTCCATCCTGCCTTGTATCAGTGGGTCAGGCTGCTGATGTAAAAGTGCGTGGGGATTATTTCTTGTGACATGTTATGCCCCTTAGAAGAACTGAGCATAATTTAAACACCACATCCTACTTGACAATTGTTGCTTCAAGTAAGAACCTTCACCATGTCCATCCATCTATACCAGGGGTGGGCAACTTCAGGCCTTGAGGGCTGGTGTCCTGCAGGTTTTAGATCTCACCATGGGTCAACACACCTAAATCAAGTGATTAGTTCATTACCAGGCCTCTTCTAGACTTCTAGACATGTTGAGGAGGTCATTTAGCCATTTAAATCAGCTGTGTTGAATCAAGGACACATCTAAAACCTGCAGGACATCGGCCCTCGGGGCCTGGAGTTGCCCACCCCTGATCTATACCCACGTCCCAATCCAACAGTGCAGGTTTGGGATGTGATGGAACAGGAGATTTGCATCATGGATGTGCAGCCAACAAAGCTGCAGCAACTGTGTGATGTTATCATGTAAATATGGGCCAAAACCCTCTAAGGAATGCTTCCAGTACCTCGTTGAATCTGCGCAATAAAGAATTAAGGCAATTCAGAAAGCAAATGAGGTCCAACCCAGTGCTAGAAAAGTGTACAAAAATAACCCCAAGACTTGTGACAGCTAAAATTAATTTCCTCTAATTAAGTTTTAGATCACACAATCAACAACACCCAGTCAGCATCAATGATTTATTATAAAACATTTAGCATAAAAACGAATGACCTCAGCTTTGAGAGTAAAAGCTGTTATCCAAACCAAATCCCAGAGCAAACTTCATGCCAGTTCTCAATATTGTCATCAGTTGGAAAGACCTTTGTAAGACCTTACAACATCTGATGTGGTGATATGATTCATATACTATCTGTTCTCTCTGTTGACTGTGAATCTTTTACCTCACTTCTTTCAGAGACTTCAGTGTTTACCACAGCTGTGTGGGATCTTTAGCAGAATAACACAGAGAATCATTTAGCTCTTCAATGTGAATGATGGGAAAGCAGTCCAAGTTGCACTCTTGTGCTCAGAGACACACAGACACCTTGAGCTACTGCCATGCGGGCTATGTGGTGACAGGTATGAAATGCCCCATGGCAGACTGGTCAGACAGGATGGCTGTGCAGTGTCAGTAAGAGATGGATGCCATCTTCTTAAGCACTTATGTAACTGAGATTTCTTGCTACAGCAAACTTTCACACAACTTCTGTTCAGGGGTTTCCCAAAATACTCTATCCACTGTGACACTCTTAATTGTATTACAGAATACACATCCAGTTAAAAGCATGACGACATAAAAGGTCTTTTTTAGCCATTATAAAACAGTCTGTCTCGTTTGTCTTCAATCGCACTTCTTCTGGATTTGCGTGTTTATTAGGTCTGCTTCTTAAGGCTGTGTGTAAGATTTTTTCCTCTTGTAATTTTCAATCGTTACTCTTGTCTATCTTGTTTTCCTGTTGTTAAAACAGCAGTATACATTTGTAATGGATATTTTTGTAGGGGAAATAATTTGAAATATCCACACCAAATATCCATACCACCAAACTTACTATCGATAAGAAAGTCAGTTCTATAACCGTTATACCATATTTGCCCACCAGATGGCAGTGTATGCCAATCAAAGTTTAGGTGTCACAACACAAACGACATAGATCAGCAACAACATTAAAAACAGACACACAGGTAACAGTAAAAGCATAATCTGTTTACAGTGCTGGGAAACCTTGGGACCTAGGATTCATATGGCTTTTACTTTGACATATACCACCTACCTAAATTCCAATGTAGATCCCCCAATGTCATAGGGACTCCATGATGGCAGGGGCCTCCCCCAGCAGGACAACACACTGCAAAAACCTGCTCAGAAATGGATCAACAACACAGCCAAGATCCACAGGCTTTGGCTTTGTTTTCCATACTCCCAGTCAGACTGAGCAACCGCAGGATTCCATAGAACAAGCCCAGTCCGTGAAGGCCCAATGGACCCAAAGACCCTACTTGTGCCAGGCATCGGCGGACAGCCCCAGAGGTCCTGTCTCCATGCCCAGACAGTGTATGGAGGATTTAACAACACTAAATAAGATGCTGTTGATGTTGTGGCTGACTGGTTTACAGTAATGACTGCTGACATTTGATCACCCTTTTTTGTTTTTTTCTCACTATCTTATCATTAATGGTAATCAGAGCCATGGAAAAGCTGACACTTAAACAGCCTTTAGGTTCCTTGTTTAACTGACAACTGTTGTTATAGTACTGCTGAAATACAAGGGGATTTTGCCCTGACTTTCCCCAATGCTGAATGTCACTATTTATTCTCAGTTTGTAATGAACAGCTTATTCATGAGCACATTTGGCTAAACCTTAAAAAATTCCAAGAGTCTCCACTGTGCAACGATAGTTTGCTATCTTTACTTCTCTGTTGAATCATCCATCAGAATGAGACAAAAAGATTGAAATAATCTAAGTTTGTTTTAGTCTAGCCCTTCTTTTGAAAATATACAATCTAACCTCTAAAAAGCACCCAGACGCAGAACAGTGCACCACACAGCCCTGCCCTGTTGGCTCCCAATGCTTTGAAATTCACTTTTCTATTTTTAAACCAGCTTGTCTCAAGTGGCTCAGTTCTTTGACATGGTTTGGCTTACACCTTTTTATCCACCAGGTAAATGTGGTGGGCATTCGGTGAAAAATTTGTATAAGACTTTATTGACATATCATCACTGCCTTGGTTGCAGACATCGCAGTGTGACAGAGGTAATGCTTCTAAAGTCAGTTATTAAGCATGTTCAGTTCCTGGCTTCCTGATGTGGACAGAAGTCAGCTCTGTTAAACAGCAGATGTTTTACACTGCGGCCGTTACCCTCATTTCCTGGGCGGAGAGCTGCTCGCTCTAATAGAGTAACAGGAACAAGAGAAAGAGAAGAGCTAGAGGGGGGGAGAGAAAGAGGCAGAGCAAGGCAAAAGAAGTTATCTAAGCGCAGAGCTCCCACAAATCACTTTGTCACCAGCAAGCTCTGACAAGCAGGAGGAGAGAGAAAGAGTACGAGCAGAGACTCCGAGTTAAACAGAGGTGCGAATAGGGAGTCTTGTTGGTGGAGCCTCGAAGGAAGAAGGTGTGAAGAAACTGTAGAGGAAAATAACGAGGCGATACCGCTGGATGGACAGAGGGAAGATAGAAGAGAGACGAGACTAAAATCCAGTTCCCAAAACAGCATAAGTTAAGAGGGACGGCTACTGCTGTTGTTACTGCCGCTGTGTCTGGATGGTACATCACCATTTAAAGAAGGTGTGTCAAACTTAAAATCTGTTACCGGAGGACACTGTTTCATTGAGACTGACATTTTAATCTTCTGATAGCAAACGCGCTTGAGACATTTAATCTCACAAGTGGAACCCAGAGAGCATACACTATCGTATTATCATGTTTGAGAGAGAGGAGAGGGATAGAGAGACAGCTGCTCTGTCTGTGAAGTAGGCATGAGACAGAGGCGTTGAAAGCAATTTCTGGTGTAGTGCAGCTGTACACAGATCACATGTTGTTACTAGTAAAAAGAGGTAGTTAGAGCCAAGAGCAGTACATGTTTGTGAAATGTTTTTCTATAGGGGCATGTGCAGGTTTGTGACTGGTATTGAATAAGCTGATGAAAGTAACTTCTTTGAGAACAATTTCTTTCTTTTAACCATTGATATTTGATTAGCTCCGGACTGACTAAAAGCGCCTGAGAGTTTTATCTGGACTGTAAAGGTTGAGGTCATCTCACCAAACCTAAAAAAAATAGGAAGATCATTTTCAAACTTTTTAAGCAGAGACTATTATTAATATTTTCTCTTTATTACAGAACATTACAGGGGAAATATTTGTCATTAGCACTAATAAGAAATTGTGCCAATTTAAACGTCTTAGTCTTAGATAACAAGTAACTTGGGCTCTGTAAACACCTGTCTTCATTTTGCTGAGTGCCATACTACTCTTTTCACATTCACTTAGGTTGCCTCTGTAAGAAAGACTGTGGTGACATGTGGAGGATGATATGCTAGCTCTAAAATAGACAGGATTCAGTTTATATAATAACATAATATAATCCTGGATTTGGAGGTTTGAAAACATATCGGTCAAACATTGGTCTGTGAGCACAGAAACAAATCTGCTGAATCCTTGATGGGTAGTAGTTTGTTTTGGACCTAGAGGTGTTGTAGAAACTTACAAAAGGGCACTGACTGTGTGCATGGGCTCTTTTAGCATTTGACAGCTCTGTTCTGGACTTGCTTCATCCTGTGGGACGTAACTGGGTTACCTGTTTGGCTGAGTCAGAGGCTGGGTCGTCACTGGATGTCTGTCTGCTCACTGGGATTCTTTCCACCTGTTTCTATGCAAATAAGACAGATGTGTTAGGTACTTTTTACAGCAGCAGTGACAGCCGTGGTGGTGAATTTTCAGGACTCTCCACACTGCTGTAATTGTTTTGTCGTGTGTAAACACTTTGCGTCAGTGACACCTCTCCACTGAGTGATTCACTGTTCCCAAAGGATCCCCGGTTGGACGAAGGCATTGAAAGGGAAGTTGGAGGAGCTTTTACTAAGAACCAAAGAACACAAGTGACTGCACAGACAGGCTGTCAACATGAAATTGTGGTTCTTGATATTGATGGTAGTGTACATGGTGGGCAGTGTACACAATCTGTCTACATGTAACACTGTGGACTTGGAGATGGTGAAGAAAAAACGCATCGAGGCCATTAGGAGCCAGATCCTCACCAAACTGCGTTTGCAAAAGGCACCAGAAGAGGCTGGGGAGAAGGAAGAGATCCCTGCCAACTTGCTATCACTCTACAACAGCACCAGTGAGATTCTGAAGGAGCAGCAGGTTCTGGAAGAGGAAAACATCCCCACAGAACAAAAGGAGGAGGAATACTTTGCCAAGGTGGTTAACAGGTTCATCATGAAAGGTGAGTATAAAATTACCCTTAGCAGCAATATATAAATCTTGAATCTGTGAATCCTGATTGAATATTAAGAAAGGGGGCAATTCCTGATGGCTTAACTATAGTTGAATGTCAAGTAATGACTGTTATTTATGCTACTACATTTACAAGCTGAGACATAATTCAAGGTGAACACTAGCATTGCACTGACACTTTCCACTCTGAAAAAATAGTTATTGTCCAGATGTCACATGAAGTGCTGCTGTTAATCCCTCCACTACGGCAATACTGCGGTAATAATGTTGTTATTACTAGCAGAAACAAAACAATAGCATTGTTTACAGTCCCCCTGTACAGTCCTTACTGCTCTTTGTCTGGTTGATCAACACTAATATTAAATATAGTGCACACAGTGCTGTCCAGAAGTTTCAAGCTGCACTCCCAAGCATTCACCGTATGCCTTATGGCTGGTGTCAGTTCCAATCTTGACCATAAATTCCCTCAACACGTGTAACCCTTATGATCTCCACCAAAGATCCTGAGGCAGTTTCAGGGGTTCAGAGATCACAGGCATTACAAGTTAGCAGAACTCTGTGCAGCATCTGGTCTGATGCTGTGTTGCTTACATGATATCTATGGCATTTTTACTGCTTTATTACTGCTCTTTGTCTGGCAAGGCTGCATATGATGTTTGTTCAGCCAAATGGTTTCTGGCTGTAATTGCCTAATGATTCCCAAACTATTACGATAAACATATTTTCTAGTTTTGCTTCTATGCTCCATTGTTCTCTGCATGTCTATACTCATCACCCTATCAGGCAGCCATCCACACTATCCCCCTTTTATCCACCACTTCAAACAGCACACTTTAGTGGATGGACCATGCTCAGGAGTGTGTAGACCAAAGAGAGAACAAAGCAACCTTCAAAATGAAGAGCACAATTTTGTTCTGCTTAGGTAACAACCAAAGAACAGGATGAAAAGTAGAAAAGCAATAGGAAGAGACATGAAATGAACTCCTTCACCCATGCTTGCTCTTTTTCTCTTTCATTTTCTCTTTTTTCTTTCTCTCTGACTTTGACCCTCAGGGATTGGGGTTTTCCTGTAACTTGAGCATTGAGTTCTCCCTTGCTTAACCTGTCACTTGTTCTCCATCACTTTTGCTTCTCTTTGTCACTGACTAGTTTCAGTGTGTCCCTTGAACCATGATTATCCATATTGCACGCTCTCTCTCTCTCTCACTTCTTTCCTTTGCACTCCTCTATCTGCGGGTTTCCTGAGCTTATTATATCAATGTGTTTGCAGTGTGTTTGTGACAGGGCAGCTTGACAGGAAGGAAGACAGGCTGATGGCCACTGAGATCTTGAATGACTCAGGTCCGGTCCGGTGCAAGCGGTGCCCATGGGGAGCATGTGTTTCCTATAGCTCTGGAATGCCACAGAACACCCATCCACTGCCTTATCTATCCGCTGCCTTGTTTTGAATCAGCTAATAAGGGAACAGCTGAAAGTAGCTGCCCCCTTACTCACGAGGGGTCACAACAGCATGTAGCACCACGTATTTGATTTGGCAGGTTTTTATGTCGGATGACTTTCTGGGAGGAGACACAAGGGATTTGTCTCCTCCTGGGATCAAGCTAGGGATTTTGCTGTTTCAATCCTGGGAGGTTCGCTTGCTAGGGGAATGTGTAAACCATTACACTATGGAGCCACTGTTGAGTCAACCTCTGCACACTGAAAAAGGAGAATGACAAATGTATGAGGATAAATGTTAAGGCCATCAAGTACTGCTTTGCAATTGTGAATTTAAAAAAAGCCACACATACACACACGCAAGGATTTTATCCAGCTTCTGCTTTTCTGTAATACGTTGTTTGAACGAAACAACAGAAATAGAATACAGGGGGAAAAATATTTTTATTTCCATTAACAATTCTTTTCTACATTTAAATCTTATTGGGCAGCAGACACTTTCCTGACTCTCAAAATCATTCTACGGGGGAAACATATTTGTGTGCAGAGCATTTAGAACATAATAGGTTTAGTCTTCATTGTGGTAATTGTGTGGTAGATTAAGCTAAATTCCTTTTGCTGTTTAGCACTCATATATCTCCCTTGAAGCCCACACAAGTTATCCTCCTATTAAAAGGAGTTTTGGTCCAATTTACACGAGGGAACGCTTTTCTCATTTGGAAGCTAGCCACTTTGTGCTATTCTGGGATGAAAGTAGTTCACTTCTCTGAAGTAATTATTGTAGTTACAAGTAAATGAACTTAAAGCTGTATTGTAGAAAGGAGTAGCAACAAGGGACCAAAGTCAAGTGTGAAATAGGGTGAAGTGGGGAAACAAGACATTGATGAGGGGGCTGTGAGAAGGTGGAGCTGAGAGGGAAGAAGGCCAATATTTAGTCAGTTGCTGGAATCTGGTTCCTCCTACTGGTAATTATAGAGCTGTTACTCAACCTGTCACAACAGCTGTCCCCGGCTTACCTGTGGATAGGCCTTGATTCAACACACAAATCCCCCCACACCCACATTTATATGCAGGCTAGGATGCTATCTCTACCCCGTCTAGCAGAGAGAGAGATTTTTTTAGCTGAGCATGGAGCTCATTTCTTACACTTTCTACTCTAAATGATTAATTTTGATCACAGAGCCAATGCAAACTCTGTTAATTGGAAAGTAGAAGTGAAGATAAAGCGTCAACGTAATTATGGTGCAGCAGCCAATATGCTTCTTAGGGGAAGTGACTTAATTTCCTGTTTTGCAAACACTTCTCTAACCCTTAACACATTTATCTCACTTTTCTCAAACTAAATGGAGACTCTGACTTTCCGTGCATGCGTTTGCCTGGCACACCAATTCCACTTGACATACTGTACGTTGTTGTGACCGTCTGTGTTTCCATTCATATGCTTCAAACCAAATATTTGACTGCTCTGGGTGGTACCAGTAAACTGTCATCTCATTTCCCGTTACACTCCACATCAGTTCTTTTTGGTTTCAGTTCGGCCTCACTGCAAGGGGTGAAACACTACCTCAGCCACAATGCAGATGGTAGATGATATACAAGCAGCCGTGACATGGAGTATCCTGGTACAGCCTGGGCTGAATATGTAGCACAAGTATGCAAGGCTGGGTTGCAATTCCTATCAGAGAGTAATTCCCGGACTTGAGAGCAGAGAACCCTTGCTTTGGCAGGCTGAGACAGAGTAGAGGGTTTGGGTCCTGGCCAGTACTTGCGCTCCATTGATACACATCTCCAATTTCTCCACACCCCCACTCACACCCTCTCACCCCTCACAACTGTGAGTTATATTCAAGAGTGCATTCTTCCCTGTGCTGTTTCCTTACCATTGTGTTTAACAGTTACATTGCCCCTCTCTGAGCCTCTCACTCGCTTTCTATAGTGTTTCACTCTTGATCTTCTGCCTTCCTGTGCTTATCTTTGCATGTGACTGTTCGACGTAATCTTTTCGATCGTAACACTCATACATTTATGGTGTTAAAGCCTCCAGTAGCTTGTCTCTGTTTTTTATCAAGCCCTCTAGGCATCTTCATGCTATGATTAAAGTTGCGCATATGGGCAGCAAAACTGTAAAAGAACAAAATATTCATGTTGGTCAACTTTAGCAACAGCTGGAAGAGATGAACACTTGGCTGCAGTTATGATTATTGAGTAACACTGAGCTCAGCCATTTTATCTGATTAATGTGTAATCCTGACAAGCACTTATGAAAGAAGCCTTTCATTTACTTTATTCATAAAAAACATTGATATACATCTAAGTGTTGTAATGTTTACTAAATATCAGTGTTGTTAACAGTTTAGAAGTTAAAAATTGTAATTAACTTGGCTTGATTTGAAAAATCTGAACCCGCTAATTCGAGAGTCCTGATGTTTTTGAGCCATATGTCCATTAATTCTAACCTTACAATGCCCAGTCATCCCTTTAATAATCATAGTTCTTTTCTTTGTGTTTACAGATATTACACTAAAGACCATTTACATTAAATACCATTTACCAAATACAGTAACGATAGGATGACTTACCAAATAAGCTCTAGGAGTGGTCTCACAAAAAAAAAACAAGTAAAGATTCATGATTAAAAATAACCAAAACGTGTAATGAAAAATTAGTAAATCCTAAACACAAATAGAATGTTTTAATGCCAAAACTTGTTGCCTTTGCCTAATGTTAATGAATTCAGAGGAAAATGGCAAAATGAGGGAGAGCAGAGAAACAGCAGAGGTGTAGAGTGAAGGTTTTTTGGGACTAGCTCACATCTAAGCATTTAAATATACTAGTGCAGTGCCTTTTAAAGTAGGTCATAAACCATCATAACATTACTGTATTAAAAAGAGATCAGCTATAAGGTTCGAACGTGTTTGAATGATTGCATACGTTTAAATGTGGTAGACAGGCAGATTGTGGGTTGCAGCTTTCTTGAGAACTGCACATTTAAGTACCAAGAAGTTGTCTGTCACAGGAAACCACAGACAATAATCATCATATAAAGTTAAATTGAAAATTGAAAAAAGGTATTTTGTGAGAGCCTTTTTAGTTTTAAACTAGGCGTGATGACATTTAGTAACATTGTGGCTTATTCTTATTTTATCACATTCTACAAAAAGGCACTTTGAGGGTTCATTCCTGGCTTTATGCTTAAAGTTATAATTAAATTCATGTTAGGGTAAACTTGGCCTAGTTGGAATGGTTCAACGGAGAGGTCAAAGGGTTGGCAAAGTTAGCCAAAGAAACATGCCTCTTTTGTACATATGTGCCCCTCCCCCTAAATACAGAGTGGAGCAGCAGTAACTGTAGGAGAAAGACTGTTAGCAGAGAACAAAGCACAGAGAACCCCTCATCTGAACAACATCAAGTTTAACACTGCACCCACTTGGGTCTGCAGCAATACAAATGCCATGTTTAAAGCAAGTTTGATACGGAGTTATTGAGACAGTCAAAGAAAAGATTTCTTGGAAGTTCTATGTTGTGCTGACTGACATTTGGTCCTGGTCCAACATTTAAACTGTTCCACATTAGCTTTCTTTACGTTTTTAAATATAATAATAACTCCTAAAAGACTAAAAACACATTACAACTAGCTTTTAATAAAAGACAGTTTAAAGTACATCTACCATGAAAGTTGGTTCCCTTCGTGATGGATGAAGTTCTTTTGAAATATTGTACCACAAGATATACATGAGATGTACATCTGCCCATTAAACATTAAATGCACTTAGATGGGTTGTTTGTCAAAATATCAAAACATAATTTCCTCTTCTTACATCATACAGAAAAAAACAACTCAAACACCAACTACAAGCCCACGGTCATCTCAATGAGCTTCAACATCGCTCAGATACGGAGTAACGTCGGGGGCAATCTGCTACTCACCAGAGCAGAGCTACGGATGCTCATCAAGGAGCCCATGATTTTGTCTGAGGAGAGAGTGGAGCTATACTATAGCCAGGGGACCTCGACTCGTTACCATGCGTCTCGCTTTGTCACAAACATGCTGAAGGACAAATGGCTGTCCTTTGATGTCACTGAACCTCTGCGGACCTGGCTCCAAGGGAATGGTGAGATAAGCATTTATTTTTACTTCATCATCATGTATTTGTCAATCTTTCCATTTATTTAGTTCAGCCCATGTGTGATATCATATAATTTCTAGGTAATATTTCCCTCCTCCATGATTTTTTTCTGTTACTAGAGAATGAACAGAAGTTTGAACTTCGGCGGTACTGTGAATGCGGCATGCCGCATGACGATGGTACTTTAAGTTTTATCATCTCTGGGACTACGAGCAAGAGGGGAGACACTAAAGAATTAGAGAAGCTGAACCAGCAGCTACCCTACATCTTTACCATGTCCATCCCTAAAACCAACCACTCTAAGAGTTTACGCACAAAACGTTCCACTGACACGACGGACAGCTGCAGCACGTAAGCAATTCTGAACTTAATGATTTATTCCACTCCATTTCTGCTTTAAAGCTGCAATAGTAACCTACTAAACCACGAGCAGCTTCAAAATACAGACCACTGAAACAACAAACATCAACTATCCCTGTTTATCCATGCTGTAATTCTGTGGTCGTTTTAGTGGCTGTATAATAAATGGACTGTAGCTTTAAAATGTTTTATAATCTTAGACAGATTACAGTGTGCCTCTCATTTACCCCCACACATGTACACAAGATGGAGTATACCTCCAAGGCCCAGCCATAGGGTTAAATTGAGTGTAATGTTGTCTCCCAACATAACAGTTATCGTCCTACAGCTTTAAAACTGACTTGATTTCAATACTCTTTGCACCATCTCATCTTCACACTGTTTTCTCTTTTGCAGCCAATCACACAACTGCTGTTTGAAGAAACTGTACATTGACTTCAGGAAAGATCTAGGATGGAAGTGGATCCATAAGCCAACGGGTTACTATGCCAACTACTGCATGGGGTCCTGCACCTATATCTGGGATGCAGAAAACAAATATTCTCAGGTACTGTGTGCATTTTCATGAGTGTTATTTCTCCCAAATCCCAGGAGGCAATTTCTTAAAGTCTGGAAAAAATGTTAATGGCAATGTTGTATTTATATGTTGCCATAATAATTCTTGATGATTTAAATAAACCAAAATGCAAAGACTACTTGTATTATTTTAGCTCTAAGCACTACGGCACTAGGACTATCTGAATTTAACCGGTTATATAAAATTCTGGTAGAGACAAATCCCACTCAGAAGGAAAACCAATGGTTTTATGAGAAAAACAAAAACACAAATCCCTTGCAGGTTGCAGGAAGGGGATGTAGTGTGAAAAATCCGCCAAAAATCAGTATACACAGAGCTACCTCATGCGTTGCCCCCTCGTCAGTAAAGGAGCAGGAGCTTTGTTTGTGCCAAACCTGATTAGGTTAGGGCTGAAATGATGACAAAAACTTTGTCTCTGGTTGTTTTTACTCTTTTAAAAAGCTAAATATCCTTTTTATGGCCCTTAATACTTTTAACACTTTCCACTCATTGAGGAAACTCTGGGTCTTTCAAAAATTTGTGCAAAAATGTCTTTAAAAAGTAAAGTATTGTAGTTTGTATTAAGATTTTTCTAAAATCACACTGAAAATTCTTAGAAATGTTGTGCTTATGTATTACATTTGCTTCGGACCATGTTGTCTTGGTGAGTAAATTCTCATAAATCTTGCCTACAGATTCTGGCACTGTACAAACATCATAACCCCGGAGCTTCTGCCCAGCCCTGCTGTGCTCCACAGACACTAGAGCCACTGCCAATCATCTACTATGTGGGGAGGCAACACAAGGTATCTATACTGCAGTCACTTTCAGGTCAAATGTTTGCAGAACATTTTATGTGAAAACAATATATAATTGATCACATCACTGTTATTTTCTACTTGCAGGTGGAGCAGCTGTCCAATATGATCGTGAAGTCTTGCAAGTGTAGCTAAAAATATAGTATGGCACACAGCTCTGCCTCCTCTTCTCAAAACACAGAGGGAAAGAAGATGTTGTGTTGGAGACTACAGATAAGAGCAAGTGACAGAGAATTTGAGATAATGTGGACATGGGGAACAAAATATTTTAAAGCTTTTCTCCAACAATCCCTCAGTTGTCACATTTGATGCACATTAAGCCATGGACCTCTTTTTTCTTCTTCTACATATTAACGATTATAGTTTTTATACGTACATTTACCTTGCAGTAGTAAAATTGTCGGTCTTGAAATGAATTAATTTATTTGTTGCACTGACAGGTGTCTAAAGAATAATAATGTACATAAAAGAAGTGTGTGAGACAATAAAATTTGGACAAAAAAGCACGAGGACAATAATGAACGTTCATGGAAGAATATCCATATTCAGGGATGAAAACGTGGGACATTTCAGATGACCACATCATCGTCCTGGTGAAAGGTGCTGAATTACAGGTGGAAAACCAGGGATGTTGGGGTTTTCCTCAAAGATAAGGCTGTAGGTGTTTTTGCATGGCTACATCATAAAGGACAGAAAAAGACACAGGGAGAGTCCAACCTGGGGAAAATCCCTTTTGACTGAAAGGCTGGACTTTCATTTTACAAGAACCGTCCATTAGTTTTATTTTCTTTTTTCAACCCACGTGACTTCTAATATGCATTTTATCAGTATGTTTCTGTTCATAATGTTCATAACTGAATGTCAGATTGTCCTTTAACCCCACTGGTTTTTCAAAGCCAGAGGCACTATCAGCTGAGAGTGATGACATCATGCTTTTAATCCCTCTGGGGACTTACCGCCATACATGTTCTCTATTAATGGACACATGGTGGTAGTGCTGATATGAGTAAGGCTATTAATACTTATTGTTTTATTTTATTTTGTTTTAAAATCATGGTAAATTATTTTAATTTCAGGAAGTTTCACAAGGATGTTTTTTCTTTCAAACTCATGAACTGGTCTGGCTTCTATGACTCGCATTAGGAATAAAACCAACACATGATTTCAGCTTTCTATGTTTTTCTGGTGCACCTGCTTTTATAATGTCTATTTGTAAATATTCAAACAAAAAAAAAGAAATAAACATGTTAAATTATGTTGTGATGGTGGAAGATTTTATGAGCAAAATAAACCACAGGAGATGTTTCCACTTGGCAGAGAGTTGCCTTGATTAGGTGTGTGCGTGTGCGGGTTTGCGTTGCACTTGTCAGTGCATGTATGCGTCTGTTTTAACTGTAAGCCGACTTGACGAAAGCATAAACTGAAACACACCTAAAGTGATGTAGACGTGAATTTCATCATCTTGTCTTTGTCATCACAAAAACAGTTCAAAAGAGTCGTGTTGTTAGACGTGGTTTTCCTCAAAAAACTGTAACTAAAACATTTTTAGAGTACAGTCATGTTAGGTAAAAAAAATAAGATGAAAATGTGACGCTAGTTGAGATAAAACTGTGACTTCAATTTGAAACTAAGAGTGATTTGAAGTTCAGGGCCGTTGCCGTACTTGACAGACTGGGACCCCACCCCTTGCACCTCCTTTTCCTTCTACACTTCAGTGTGTGACTACTTCTCTTTCTTGATGTCTTTCACAATCAGTTTTTTTAAAACACTACTTGTACTTGTGTACTTGTACAATGACTTTCCAGTGTCGGGGAACAGATCGGCCGATGGAAAAGCTTGGCTTATGGCACCATGTGGACTATTTCAGGCCAACTGCAGGGCAATTATGGGATGACTGAAGAACAGCAGCAACAAGTCCTATTTGGCTTCACCAGTGGCAAAGAATGCTCGGATGTACAGGTTCTTTAGTTGCACTGTCTTAACCTGAAGGGATGGATGCCTTTCCAGTTTTTATGCTATCTCTGTACACCACACCCCCACCGTCCCAACCCCAACCCTCTCACTCTGTACTCAAGGGATTATTGTCAGCCCATGAGGCTGAATTGGGAATGAGGAGAGCAGGTCCAGACCCGTTGGTAAGTCCCAGACTTAAGGGCAGTGACTACATGGAAAATTAAACACACATACTGTGCACATGCATATGAAAACACTGAACCCACTGACACACAGACACAGCTCAAGCACACCAACATCAAATGCCTTACATAAGCTTTGTGCTAGTGACTCGTGTGGGGGATGCTTGTGCTGTTAACAAAGTGACAGTGATCAGTGCTATCTTGTTCCAAGGCTGGTCATGTTACCCAGAAAGCACAGCAATTTTCCCCCAATGAAAGAACACACAAAGCGCCTGTTTGGAAAGGCAGCTAAACAAAGTATAATGAAACATCATCAAAATAATTGAATCCTCTTCAGTCTCACCTCTCAAAATGATTCTGAGTGATCTGTTGCCAGGTCATAATCTTGCCAAAGTACAATGTGTACCGTGTTATCGTGACAGGGGAAATGTAATTGGAATGTTAATGGGGCTTTTTTTTCACCAAGAAAACAGGATCATTGCCCAACCTAAACAAGGAAAACCCAAGATCTGATGCAGGAGACAAGATCATTAACATTAGACACTAAAGGTGCTTGAACTTGAATTTTGCTTTTTTCACTTTCCCTCCTAAAGATGAAACAAAGAGTAAGAATGTCAAGAGACTCATAAATCTATCTGTGGTGCTAATGGAACAGCCCTATGGGGGAAGTAAAACTTAAGTAGCCTTGTTCCTCCAAGTGATGTTCATTTCTCAGCAGCTGCTTCCTCTCAAGCCCTCTGGCTTTTCATGGGACTGAATTAAACTGCTGACACCTCCTGCTAAAAATGAAGCACATCGCAGAATACGGCCCACCCGAAGAAAAATAAAGGATTGAACTGAACACAATTCAACCCAACAGAGAAGATTTAAGACAGATGGCGGCAGCTTTTGAAGGTCAAGCAGGTGTTCTTTTACAGCTAAGTCCATGTGTTGAGTTTATACAACTGCATGAGTAACAAGAAAATTGTTCTGTTGTTGCTATTCATCAATTTTGACACAACTGGTCCTTTAATTACATCCAAGTGCAGTGTTTAACCCTTTTATATCTGTTGATGTGATGACTTTCGAAGCATTCTACCTGTATGCTACTTATCTAGGTTCATAATGCAGTCATGCTAAATGTGAGCTCATTCGTCATGCCGCTGGTCTTGAAATGTTATTTTGGGTTCGCGTCTTATTACAACATCCATGAAATGTGCGATTATACGTCCACCAGTCTTCCAGCACAACTGCTCATTAAAAGTGGAGCAGGAAAGCGACCTGGTATAATTCCTGTGAACTCAGACGGAGCTGACTGCGACCTTAATAACAGACGCTGATGTCCTGCTGCAGCTCAGCTCTGCCTTGCAAACACACAGCTGTGCAAATCCATTGTTGCTCCAGGTGCTGAATCTGCGTGCAAACACACACAAATACACAAACATCAACAAACATGCCTTTCTGTTTAAAGACGCAGTTTTGCAGTTTAAGATTTTGGTTTTATTTTCGCATCAGTTTTACACAAGTCTAATTAAATTCGAGATTTCTCTCTTAAAATAACAGGGTAATTATGTTACCATACTTACTGATATAAGGGGTCAGGCTGAACAAATTTACCACAGTACTGACTTTAATTTTGTACATGTTTAACTTACTTTTATGCCTAACTTATTTTTTGCTTCGCTGTACAGGCAAGATTTGAAATAACTTTAGTGTAGATATATATGTTACTGCTCTACCTGTATTTTTATTAAATAAAATGTTTCTGATACATATAAATTAAACTTTGATTTATAAGTCCCCAGAATACCTGGGTGTACAGATCAACAGAATATTGACAAGTTTACTGGAACATGTTAGACATGAGCTGACAGCGATTTCCTTCTCCACCTGTCAGGCTTTTATTGCCATCTTTTTCCTTCACACCTGCAGTAGATGTTTATCACAGTCAGCCGCCCATATCGCTCGCTTCGCCTCCTCTTTTCTCTCCTTTTCTCTCTGATCTTTTTGTTAGCCGCTGCCAGCTCTTTGAAGATTCCCTGAAAGTTTTGTGTTATCACCTGCACGACACAAAGCAAGTGATAGGGGATGAAAAAAGATGAGTGACTAAATGAGGGACAGAGACAGAATAAAATACCACACACGTTTTTCTTTCTAGCTTTTTTTCCCTACAAGCTAAAAAGAAACTAGGGTAGAACAAACATTTTTAAAAGAGAGTAGTTAATTTCCACTTCACCAGATGGCCGCTGTGCTCCTTTGTCATGTAAATAACCAGTAGCTAGCGTCATAGCTTAAAATTCTAAGGATCAAAGACTGAGGAAAAACAAAAAAAAAGCCTCTTCAAAGTGAAGCCCACAAAGGGAAAGTATGATAAACCATATGACAGTGAGTGTGGTTATAAAGCACGCTGGGCCCTGACTCATTTGCTGGACCTCTGTAAGTAAGAAATGTTTTCTAAAAAAGGAAAGGTACCAATTACATCTCTGGACTGGCTCCTTCTCGTGGCACCGCCCCTCCGTTTCCTTCCTTCCTCCTCTCTCTCTCTCTCCCTCTGTGTGTGTGTGTGTGTCCCTGGACACACAGGGACAGATATGCCGCTATAAACAGCTACCATGTCCCTGGGTAATAAACAGAGGAGAGGACCTGGCTCATGGCTCTGAAAAAACAACAATGTCCGAGCAGGATCTACACCCAGAGGAGAGGCAGTCTCTAAATAGCAGTTTAATCATACAATCCCAACTGAAGAACATACCCCAGTGGGTGATGGTGACGGCAATGGGGAAGACGAATTGGTGAGGGGTGGTGTTTGAGGGAACCTTAATTCCCCTGGTGAATCACTATCAAGCATTTATTGCAATAGCATCTGTTGCTCAATGACTTTATAATTGAAAAACTCCAAACATCATTCTGGGCTCTATAAAAACTAAACGCTTCTAATCTAGATCTAGATATCCTGCTGTATTGGGCTGGCTTGTAAAGTCTGAACACAGCAGTAATTTTAATTGTATATCAGTTGTTGTTGTTGTTGTTGTTGTTTTGGTTGCTTGGGAAAAGAATAATTCTCAAACAAGCTGTTGACCAGATGGCCTTGATATAGTCTAAATGTTTATTTCTAACAATAATTTAGGTCTAACACTCAGTCTTCTGCTAGCTCTGTATTGTTCACCACCATCTGCTGTATAAAAATCTAGCTTTTGCAAGACGTTTGACTTACTAGTCTAGCGGCATAAATACTGCAATCTTTTTATTTTGGTAAACAGCTGCCTGCTGTTGTTGGACAAAAGGTTGATTGAAAGCAAAGCAATGTTTTGGCCACTATTTTCAGGGGATTTTCCACTCTGAATGACACTTTTCCCATGAACCACTAGTTTAGTTCATTCACTGAATAGCTCAACTGTCCTGATATAGTTTTTAAATAAAAACACTTGTCCCAGTTCCAGTACTTCTTTTGGAGTTTTTTTTTTTAACCATTTTGCCTTATGACCACCTTTTAGTTGGAGAAAACAGTCATTATGAAAACACACCTGTGTAAAGTAAAAAGTTAATGATTTTAGGCAGATGCAGCCATGCGGCTTCAGAATCCAGTGGAATAGAGGCATGCTGGGAAAGCGTACAAGGCATAATCTCTTTACAGACCCCATAGTAAGCTTGGCCGAACCAAGGCTGTGACCCATACCTTGGGCGTAAAAGTTCATTCACACACTATTACTCATCCTACTACTTCACTTCATCCACGCACCCTCACGTCCACATAGACACACACACGCACACACACTAAAACACGGGCAAGGCTGCTGACTCCTATTAAGTGAGGTGTGACTGAACTCACAAATCACACATTGGTGTTAAACTGACATGGTGGACAGAAAGAAATATCATCCCGAGAACATGCACACACAAATTTGGGTTAAATCACACAGTAATATGAATCTTCTTATTGGATAAATGGGAGGTTAGGGAGGAGTGAAGTTTTCAAGGTTAGCTCTGCACAGGGTCTGTTTTAGATTAGTCTGCCATAGTCTGTGGCCTACTGTGTCAGTGGAGCTCTCAGCTGTATTGATAGGTGCAAGGGTTATGACAGCAGAGAGAAAAACTTGGCAGCCTGTTCCTCCATTGCCTTCCCTCAGAGGGATACTGGTCAGCACG